TGTGTGTGTGTGTGTGTGTGTGTGTGTGTGTGTGTGTGCCCGCGCGAGTGTGTCACTTACAACTCGGGGCTTGTATCGATACACCGACTTTAATAAAGGATCCAGCACAGATCCCTGACCTGAATTTAATTTAGATAAAATCTGTAATTCTTTCTCTATATCGCTTTATCTCTTAAAATTATACCAATTATTTTATATCAATTATCCTCCTCCTCCTCCTCCTCCTCCTCCTCCTCTCCTCCTCTCCTCCTCCTCTTCCCCTCCTCCTTTGTTACTTATAATATCTTACGAAATGAAAAACAAAAGTTGATAATATTCACGCTACTACATATGCATTTTGTTCCTGTTCAAGTCCGAAATTTCTTCCTTACTTGATTAGTTAGTCAAAGAATTCGTAATTTTGCCACCAATATATATTTTCCTATTTTCCCTCTCTCGCTCCTACCCCCTCCTTTCCGCGTCTTAGGGAATCTAAAGTTAGAAATTGAAAAAGTTTCGCAGCGTTTTCAAAATGTTTACCTTTGGATAATCTCGAGGTGGGACTTCGTCACGTGATTTTGAACAAAAAAGATATACACACTGGCTGGCAGACATACAGACGGATAGACAGACATTCAGAACAAATGGTCGGACATATTGACACACACACACACACACACACACGCACACGCACACGCACACGCACACGCACACGCACACGCACACGCACACGCACGCACGCACCACGCACGCACGCACGCACGCACGCACGCACGCACCGCACGCACGCACGCACGCACACACACACACACACACACACACAACACACACACACACAACACCACACACACACCACACACACACACACACACACACACACACACACACACACACACACACACCACACACACACACACACACACACACACACACACACACACACACACACACACACACACACACACACACACACACACACACACACAACACACACACACACACAACACACACAACACACACACACACACACACACACACACACACACACACACAACACACACACACACACCACAACACACACACACCCCTCCCTCCCTCCTTTTTCCACTGACCTCGAAACTTAAAAAAGGGAAATGGAATATAAAATAATTAATATATGGATTAATAAATATAATATAAATAATTGAAAAAGAAGGAATACCCAAAGGGGTTAAAAATCTGAATTGAACAAGGAGAGCAATTTTTAGAATTAATAAAAAAAAGATAGTAAGTAACACCCAACAAGAGAAATTAGAAAAAAAACACTTAATTCACTTACAGGATTTAAAGTCATGGAAATTAATAACATTTCCTTTTCATATCAGCCCCGAGTTCTGTTTGTTCATGTGTCTCTATGTTCCCTTTCTGATTTGTTTGTTTCTGTTCTGGTCTGTCTTCTGTCTGTCTGTCTGTCTGTCTGGTCTGTCTGTCTCTTCTCTCCTCTCTCTCTCTCTCTCTCTCTCTCTCTCTCTCTCTCTCCTTCTCTCTCTCTCTTCTCTCTCTCTCTCTCTCTCTCTCTCTCTCTCTCTCTCCATCTTCTCCTTCTCTCTCTCTCTCTCTCTCTTTCCCTCTCCCTTCTTCCTTCCCTCCCTCCATCGCTCCCGTCCCTCTTCCTCCATCGCTTCCCTCCCTCTTCCTCCTTTTCTCCCTCCCTCTCCTCCTTTTTCCCACTCCCTATCTCCCCCTCTCTACATAGCACAACACGCCCGCACGACCCAACCCCGCGGCATAGGCGAGCCCGCCCCCCCCCCCCCCCCCCCCCCACAATACACAAAACCCTGTCGTAAACATAAAATACTTGGGAAATAACCGAGTTGCTCTTAAGTAGAGTGAGTTATATCGATGAATTTGGCGTCGGTAGGAGGGGGACGGGGTGACTGGTTGCGGTGTGCTGCTACTATGCTGGCCTCCAGGGCACAAAAAAATTACCGACGCAGAGTGTGGGAGGAGGAGAAGAAGGAGGAAAGAGAAAGGGCAGAGGGGAAGGGGGGTTGGGGTCAGTGGGAACGAGGGAGAGGGAGAGGAAAGGGGAAAGGGGAGGAAAGAGGGGAAGAGTAGCGGGACGGAGGGAGGGAGGGAAAGGGAAAAAAGGGAAGTCGGGAAAGTGGTGGAGGGAGGGAGGGGGAAGTGGGTAGGGGCATGGATAGAAAGCGGAGAGAGGGAAAAGGAGTGGTGAAGGAGGGAGAGATGGAGGGAAGGGCCGGAGAGAGAGGGGAAGGCGGGTTAAGGAGGGATAGGGGGAGGGGGAGGGGAGAGGAGAAAAGGGGGAAGTGGGTACGGAGAGGGGCGAGGGGGAGGGAGAGGGGGAAGGAAGGGAAGGAGGATGAAGGGGGAGGAAAAGGAGGGAGCGGGACGAGGAGAAAGGGAGAGGGAGAAGGGGGGGACAGGAGGAGATACATGGGGAGGGAGGGAGGAGGGAGAGGCGGGGAAGTGGGAGGAGAGGGGAGGAGGGAAGGAGTGGGGATGGGGAGGTAAGAAAAGGGAGGAGAAGGACGGAAAGGAGAAAGGATGGAGGAGGAGATGGAGGAAAAGGAGGGGGAGGGGAGAGAGAGGAGGAGGAGGAGGAAATTGACAATAAAAAAGGATCAGAAAAAAGGAGCAGAAAAAAGGTAGTATAGCAATACTGAAGCCGGGGGCGTGCTGGTAGAGGGGGTAAGCGTCGTGAGTTAGAAGACATGGGATGGAGGACATGCGAAGAGACCATAGGTAGGAGAGGAGAAGAGGAAAACAACAACAACAGAGGAGGAAAGCCGAAAAATACCTTTTAGACGAGAAACGGAAGGACCATAAAACAGATGAGAAGGAAAGAGGAACACGGATAGAAGAGAATGTCGAGGTCGAGAACGAAACCGAAAGCGAGACCGAAACAGAGACCAAGACCGAATGTAAGACCGAAAACCGAAACCAAGAGCGAGACCGAAGACGAAAGCTGAGACCAAGACCGAAACAGAGAGCAAGACTGAAACCGAGAGCGAAACCGAAAGCCGAGACCGAGGCCGAAACAGAGACCGAAAGTGACACAAAATCAACCAACTGTTCCAGCTGTCTGAGGCGCCTGGTCAGGGGGGGATCCAGCTGGCTCTGGGGGGTAGGAACGTAAGGAGGAAATGGAACAGAATATGAGATAAGAAGATTCACTAATTATAAGCCGGAAAACGGGGAAAGAAATGTAACGAATGATAATGAAAATAATTAAAAAGAATATAATATATATATATATATATATATATATATATATATATATATATATATATA